CTGCCTGTTCTGCTCCCCACTCTGTCTCTGGTGAATCATCTCACTGACCCTGCACCTCTGACCTGTACCCCAGTTCTGTATGAATAAATAAATAAATCTTAAAAAAAAAGCATATAGCCACTTACATTGTAATAAGAGAAGGATTGCCTACAAAGGCTTTTTCAGGTATCGACTTGATATTGTTGCTGTGAAATCCTCTAGAAAGAGAGAAAACATAGCATATAGAAACTAATGTATGCAGTAAAATTAGCTAGCAGCTTTCTCTCCAACCCCCACAGGCAATCATCAGCACCTTTAGAAACTAAAGACAAGGTTAAATTTCTCTATGCATCTTAGAACTAACATGGCCTCACTTATTCTAGGAGAAAAAAAATCACAAGCTGCTGTCTCGAAAGGAACACAGGATCTGAAAATAATTGTGGTGTTTTATGGAAACTTACAACCCAATGTTATAAGCAGAAAATTCCTCTTTTAATACCCAGCACCATCACCTAATAACTTGAGACAGCAAGGACACCTTTGGGGAGATAATTATAATAATTCCTCCTGACCCCATTTGAAGCTAAGAAAAGAAAATTGACTGAAGCTGCAGTGAAGCAGAGTTAAGGAAGCTCCTTATGAGGACAAAATTTCCTGAGCTGATGGAAGCTGCCCCAGCTCAATGGTCTGTGATAATGAACTGACTCATCTGTTGGTGCTAACATTGTAGGAAAGGGAGAGGGGTAAATCAGGGTCATTGGGTCCTCTGGGGGCCTGCAGTTGCTTGAGGTGAAGGGTACCTGTCCACACACAACAGTGAGCAAAGTCACAGGTGGGGTCTTGGGGCAGAACCCACTGTCTAAAGTCCTTTTCTTATAAACTGGCCCTGCTCTTCGGCCCTGGAGTCGTGTGTCTTATTTCCCTCTGCCAGGAAAATAAAGCATGGTTTTTATTTTCCTTTCTAACATTCTTTACATAAGTTATTCATATTTTGGAGTACAAAGAAAAAGTTCAGGAAATTATAGCATATGCAAAACTATAGGTGGAATGTATTAGCTGGACGTTAGTTTTACTGTAGTAAAATCATGTCTTTGTTAAGCACATTGTACCCATTCAGTTCTAGAAGACTTAGACAATCTAGGAAAGCTTGCACTTAGAAATTCTTAGCAAACAACTGAATTCCATTACAGTTTTGTTATAAATCTATATAGTATACAAATGACGGGGAATATAGCTCAGGAAAAGATGAGTATGGCTTAGAGAAATATGTGTATAAATTGAATATATATGAATAGAATGAATGTAAGTAAATTTATATTGAAAAATATATAGGTGAATTTAAATGAGTTTTGCTTCCTGAACAGGTACTTGAGCATTGGTGAGGATTAGGGAACAGGTATTCTTACCTTCTGTGGTGGGCATGTAAATTGGTGAAGATTAATTCCCAGGATTAGAATTAAAAGTGTGATTAGGGCTCTCCCTGGTGGTACAATGGGTTGGGCTAGCTGAAGTCACTGCAGAGCTGTTATTCCTCTTTCAGAGTTATTAGCACTTCAAAAGAGTGATTAAGAAAATCAGTCCTGTGACTGCAAGGAGAAAAGAGCAAAATCAAAGCAATTTGCCAACCTTTTAATATGTAAATACTCGCTAATGAGGACTAATGTTTATTGGCAAGAAACTTTAAAATCCCCAGTTTGCCAACTTACTGTCAGAACATTTCAAAATGATGAATGGTATTTCTTTTTCAGTTGTCAGGACTCCAACTCATTTCTGACAAAAGCTACAAGGTTCCAGAAAGCTTCTCAATCGAATTGATACAGGACACAAGAAGTGCCTTGAGAGTCATGTTGAATAGTTTTCTTTCTTCCCTATGTGAGACACCACCCATTACCTCTGACCTAACAGTAGCTTGAAACTCAGAGTTGGCTTAATATTTACATATTTTCATCTTCCTAGATATCTGTACGGGATTAGTCTTCTGTCTGCGCTCAATGTGAACTATGGAATTTGTTATACTTGAGTTTTAAATCCATTTTAGGTTTCTATGGCATATACATATTTCATATACACCCTACTAGAACTGATGGACCTTTCAGAAGTTACATCCTGGTTTATGAATGTGACTCAATGCTTAGGCTCCATAATGATGGTTATGAAGACTTAGCATGTCTCCTACTTCCTACCATTATTTGGGGCTGGAGTCTGTTTCTTTTTCTTTTTCTTTCTTTTTTTTTTTTTTTGGAGTCTGTTTCTTGTAAAGGACCCCACTGGGTTTGTATGTGGGTATGGGTCTGCCTCCTTGATCTCTAACTGACAGAGCATTTATAAGATACATCTGCTACTGTAGACATACGCTGTGACAGACCTTCATGTTCATCCTGCAAAGGAGCCTCCCTTCTAGCTAATTAATACATCCATTACTCAGGTATTCACTTTGTGTGTGTGCGAACATTTACTCTAACAACCTACTCTTCTAGTATATTTAGGTTTAAGTTAAAAATGACCGATGACTATGTGATTTGGATATTGATATTCTTAAAAAT